GTGCCATGTGCCCTCCGTCGAAAGCACCCGTGGGGCCGGTCAACTTCTGCAACCCCGCCGAATCAGGCAGTGGCGAAGCGTCCTGGCTCGCCTATAGCCTTTCCAAACAATATTCTAAGAACCTTTTGTGGTTTCCACGAAATGTTCTTGGAACATTTCTGGCTGAGATTGTCTTGTTTTGTCGCATCGGGTTTATGCTCTAAGACCATCGTTTCTGTTCTTGGAACATTCCTGGGTGCTCAGAACATTTCGTGGCAGGACTAGGTAGGAATGCCGGGACGGTCGGCCCCTGCTCAACCGAAGGGGGGTCGGCTTCGATCTGCCGAACAGTGGCCCGCCTGGGCCTGGGCCCGGCACCTCCGCCGCCGCCGTGGCACCCCATCGGCTGCGGGCGGACCTGCTCTGGGGCGGACGGCCCTGGCGCGAGCCCCGTGGCGATCGAGCCGCCGCCCGGGGGGCGCCGCAGGCCTGCCGCCGTCCGCGTGCCGCCCCCCCCTCCGCCAGAGCCGAGGAGGAGGAGGAGGAGGAGGAGGAGGAGGAGGAGGAGGAGGAGGAGGAGGAGGAGGAGGAGGAGGGATGAAAACCCAGGGGGGCAGCGTCCAATTCTGCATCATCGACCACGTGCCTGGCGACGAAGCCGATTAGGTGATCATCACTTGCGCGCGCTCCAGCGGCGTCTTTCTTCTCTCTGGCATCTTGTCTGCTCCCGTCGCTTCGATGTTGCGCTCGCTCGTGGCAACTGGGGTTGCGTCGCGGTCGTGAACGCCGCAGTGGCGCAGTGCAGCAGTGGTACGCAACTCGGCGCCTTCGTTGAGTTCGTGGGCCGCGCTAGGCTCCTGTGCCAGCTCGCCAAGCCTGCCTGCCCCGAATAGTTCACATGCATCGCCCTCTGCAACGCACTCGGGGCTGCCCCTTCCTTCAAAAGGGTACCCAAGGGCGGCCAGGCCAATCTGCCATCGCCTCGCAGCAAGCGAATCTTTTCGTCGTCAACCTGCGCCGCCCTCCGCCACCCAGGGTTCTCCTGCGTGGAGACCCGCGAAGAGCTGTGTCGCTGGCTTCAGAAATTGGTCGAGTGACCGGCCTTTTTTCCTATCCTCGCCTGCGTCCTGCGCCTGCGCCCTCACCGCTTCAACTCCGCGCATCCCCCCCGCCGGCGCCTTCGATCGCAAGATGGTGTCGCAGCTCGCCCAGAACCTTCACCCAATGCTCGGGTGCGACGCTGGCAACATCTGCCTCACCCTCCAGCACCACGCACTCCTTCGCTACCTTGGTCTACACCCCTGCTCCGACAACCAGGCCACCAGCTCATTCGTTTGCAAACGCGCGACTCTCAATCCCGCGCGCGGGGGTGACGAGCTCGTCACCAGGAAGGCGAGCCGAGCCCCCGCCAGGTGCATTCCCGCCGGCCAGCTTCGTCTCGACAGCTTTTTCATAACATGTGTGACATCGTAGCCGAGGGCTGTTATCATTACCGTAGTCCCCAGCGTACTCACGACGTTAGTTTGATGCTGGTCTGGATCTGAAGCTGGATTGCTCTTGCATGCTACGGAGCTCTTGCATGCTACGGTGCTCTTACTGACAACACTACGGTGCTCTTGCATGCTACCTGTGGTCGGTGATCTTCGCCTTCATCCACTTGAAGAGGACCATTGTCAGAGAGGCTTAGGCGGCGTTCCCCACTGCTCGCCCAGGGGCTGCGCCGGATGCTTCACACGGTCTGAGAGTGGCCGCTTTGCCAGTTCAGTGTGTGTGTGTGTGTGCCTGTGTACATGGGCAATGCCCGTTGCCTCTCTCCGCTCGTCTCGCCCAGTCCTGCCCCGACGTGTTCCGCATCGGTGGCGCGGTGCCCTGTTCCTGTGTCTTGGCCTGTCACCGGCCCACGCTTGTCGGCCGCCTTGCCTGCCACTGTCGTCTCCCCCGTCGGGCCCTGTTTGTAGCCGTCCACGCTCGTCCCTTCTCGCGGCTGGCTCCCTGTGAGATCCCCGCGCAGTGTGGCTCCCTGCGGGAGCACCTTGCGTCACCCCGCCTGGTGGCTGGGTGCGCCTTTTTTTTCCGCCTGCCTGGCTACGCCCTTGTGACAGGCTCTTCGATCTCCTGGGACGCGCTGCTTCTTCTGTTCAGTGGGCGTGCATGGGCCGGTGTGGAGGAGAAGGACGAGGAGGAGGAGGATGAGGAGGAGGAGGGGGAGAAGGAGGAGGAGAAGGAGGAGGAGGAGGAGAAAGGATGATGAGCAGAGTGTTGCGGCCGATGGCTCGAAGGAGGAGGAGGAGAAGGAGGAAGGTAACGAGGAGGAGAATGAGGGGATTGTTGATGCGAATGACGATGATCGATGTGATGTTGATGATGACGATGAAGGGAATAATGTTACTGATGATGATAATAATGAAGACGAAGAAGATCATGATGCTGGTGATGACGATTGTGATGGTGGTGCTCGTGATGGTGATGATGCTGATGATGATAATGATGATGCCGATTATGAAGATTGATGTTGATGGTG